CACATCCTCCTCCTAATGACCTCACTTCCTCCTACGAGGTCCACCGGTAAAATTTCACTTCCTCCCACTAGACCCACCCCAGTGACATCATTTCCTCCTACTGGACCTGCCCCCATGACCTCACTTCCTCCATCTATGACCTCACTTCCTTACACGAGACCCACCACCAATGACCTTACTTCTGTACCCTGGGTCCTGCCTCTTAAAGGTTCCACCACTTCCTAATATTGCCATGAGCTGGGGAACAAATCTGCAATACACAGGCCTTGAGAGACACTTACTCAGATGATAGCCATCGGGACAGGTGTGACTGGATCAAAGATCTTAAAAGCTGCTCCATGCTAAGGTGAGGGCATGGCAGGGAGACAGTCACTGGCTTAGAACAAGGCGATGGTGCCCCATAATCCACCATAGGGATGACATAAGTCTGTTGGAAATGACTCCAGTGGCTCTCAGCCCTGACCATACTAGGACCACCTGGAGGACATCTAAAAGGATGAAGCCCTGTCCCTTCCCCAAGTGCAGCCCAGTGCAGAAAAGGCTTGATGCAGGACAGCCTACCTGGAACACTATCTCCCTGAAGAGATGCAGCCCAGGAGGTGATGTGGTGCTGCTGCCTGGCACTATGGACTCAGAAAGGGCAGCGTCTGCAGGGTGTGCCTGCAGCTCCAAAAAACAGCTGCGGAGAAGGCAGCCAGCTTTACCGGGGCCCAGGTCATCCTCAGTGAAAGCTGGGAGCCCATATCCACAGCGGTTATGTGCAACAAGCAAAAGGTTTCTGTCAGTGTGAGAGAGGGACAGAGAGATAAACAAGGAGGAGAGAGGGGAGAGGGGGACTCCTCCACATGGCACTGAGAGGGGCCCAGCCTAGCAGAGGTGCAGAACTCTGGATTCCTGCACCCAGCCAAACCTCACGTCACACTGCTCATGTAAGCTGCAGCTGCTGCAGGGCTGCCAAACACGCTGCACAGCCCCATTCAGGACCGTCACCCACTCGCAGCCACCCCTGCATCCTGAGGATGCCCAGAGGTCCTCCACAGAGGTCCAGCATCTGCAGCCGCCACACACCTTGTCACCCACACACAGAGCACAGAGAGCAGAGGCTCGGGAGCCGGAGGGTCTTCTCACCAGAGGCCTCCAGTCTCTAATTCATCTCCTGCCCCCAGGAGGACCCAGCGCTGGGGACATAAGAGCCACTTCTGGTGCTGGGAGCTTCCCAGCCACTTGAGAGTAAGGACAGGATAAGAAGTTCTGACCCCAGGATGCATGGTGGTGGCTCATCCTGTCTGGAATCCCCATGTTATTTATCTGTGCCAACACCACTGACCTGGGCTCTGAACCAGGCTGACCCAGGTCCATTGGGAACTAAACAGACTCACTCTGGGGACTGGCTCAGCCTCCAGTTAGCAGCTCTGTGGCCAAGCCCTGTACACCTCCTAAGCCTGGGCACTGGAGTCCTCGTAGCACATAACCCTGAGTTTTCAGGGGCTCGGGCGAGCCCCGAGTGTGGACCTAGGTTCTTGTTCCCGTGAGCTAGAATCAGAGCAAGGGCACCAAAGGCAGACAGAGTCAATATCAAGAGAAAATGACACTCTGGCTGGTGGGGCCCTCTCAGAAATCTTGGTGTCACCTCCTTTAACTACTTCATGGCTGAGAGGGTGAGACGGAAACCCAGAGAGGCACTGTCATCTTTGAGGGAAGACCAGGAATCAGCACCAAAGCTGGAACTCCCGCACTGGAAGTGCTCAACCCAAGCACACTCAAGTGCAGGTCAACCAGGCTGCAGGTAGGCCAAGCCAAAGCTGGCAGAGACAGGGACCAGAAAGAAGGGGGAAAGGCGGCGCCATAGCACCCCACATCACGAGGGAGTCTCAAAGATGGGGTAGCACTGGCTGGCTGTGCAGCTCCGGAAGTTGAGCCAGACTTAGAAAGCAAAATAGACTTCCAGTTTCCCTCTGAAGAGGCATCTGTTCTGGGGCACCCCGGGAAGATCACCCTAGGGGTCCTTCTGCCTGGCTCCCTCCAGCTGGGCTCCATGAGAGACCCAGGGAGATGGGAAGGCTCACCCACACCCCCTAGGCCCTGGACTCACCGCTCTCTGAGCGGTGAGCAGCACCTCGAGCTGCCAGATGTGTGTGGGACACAGTGCATGACCTTGGGGCCGGGCTGCCCAAGGCCCCTACCCTCCAAAAGCACCCCTTTAATTCTGAGCCCCTGAGCATGACCGTCCTGGCAGCCACCGCCCTAGGCCACCTCTCTCCTCATTGAAAGCCTCCTGCCACGCACTACTCTGAGACACCCACACAATGCGACATGAAAGAGGCCTCTACGGACCCACAGGATTCATCAGAAACAGCCAGACTAAAACTCATCACAGCAAGGGCTGGGGATGCATTTTCTGAGACTAAGAAGGGGAGAGACTGGCGATCTGGGCCAGGGATGAGTGACAGCCCAGAGCATTCTTTTCTTCCACCTCATAATAAATAATCAATCCGAGAAAGCTGATAGGAAGAAGTAAATGTGATTCTTTTTAAGATAGCAAGAGGCATTATGGTCATCATTGTTGATCACCTTGTATTCTGTTTTTACATCATGTACTATGTCCATCCTTTTGATCTGACTGACTCTGTTTTGTTTTGTCACATTTGGTTTTATTCTCTTTAAAAAAACAAGTAATAAGAACTGTGGGAGTAATAAAACCCAAAATGTGTAATCGTTATTGTAAAAAAGAGAGGAAAAAAAAGTGCTCTAAAGGACATAACTGCCTGTATATTTAAGCGTATAAGATAGATAACCACATTACTGAGTTTTTGTTGGATCATTGAACAGAACTGTTTGCAGTCTCACTGTTTGAATGTCCACTTTGTATGCTTTAATTTTGTAACTTGAATAACTATTTCTAAGATGACAATATGTAATCTATTAACTAGTGATTTCTTACTGTTTATTTTTTTTGAAATTCTGTATAACTTGTCCCCTTTTTCTGGGTTTTTCCCCCTTTTCTCTTTAAATAAAATTTAAAAAAAGAAGAAGAAATAAGAGTGAGAGGCGGGAACAGCATACTTAGGAGGAGGATTTTTCCAGGGCTTCTTAAATGTAACGCCTTGATTTTTCTTTTTCCTTTCAATTGTATTAAAAGTGCAGAGAACACCTGTTTCTTGTTACACCGCCGCAGTTTGGATGTGTGACTAGATGGATCACACACTATGTGGAACGAAAAATAAAGGAAAAGAAAACCCTGGAAAAAACGGTTTGACAAGTTAACAAAATTTTATATTGTTTCCAATTTAGAGAGAAAAAGGCAGAGAGAGAGAGACAGAGCCGATCGCCAGAGGAGAGAAGCACTCTGTTTCTAGTTGAATTCTCATAAAGGCTCCTGGATGCCATTTCTCCCACTGGAACAGAAATGGTACATTTTTATGATGGATTTTTTAACCCTTTCTTCCAAAGCTGAGACTTTGGAATCAACTGAAGGGTGCTTCCCAATCAGGATGACTTAAGTGGAAGTATTTCTCAGCCCCATGAGCTGGTCTTTCCAATACAGGGAGAGGAATTAGGCTCCTTACTTGATGTAATGCAATGACTTTCCGATAGACACGCATGGAATCATTGATCAGGGGTGTGCGCCTTGTTCACATTGGCACACTGTTCAATTTACACCAATTAAAGAATGCTCGGTCTGGGTATTGAAGAATAATTAAGGGATGCAAATCCCCCACAGGCTTCTAAAAATGACATCTGACTGGAATGGTGATCATGGCGTGAAGGCAGCATTAGGGTTTCAATATTTGACAGATACATAAGATCATCACAGCATCTCTCCGGGAGGGGTGACACTAGGTCGACGTGTGCACTTGCCTGGTCACCCTAAACAAATTTGACAACTCTAATTTTAAGTAATTGCTCCGAGTTTAGTGGCAGCCTCCGTCCCCACAAGGGCAGCTGTCTAAACCACATCTTGTAATTGAGATGTGTCTTTAAACTGTATGTGTCAACTTCACATGCAGATGGGCTCCCAGAACAGCCTCAGATTAGGGACAAGCCCGAGCATCCTTCTCAGCCACACTTCCACCAGAAAACTGGGGGCTCTACCCCATCTGCAACCGGAAAGGGGGAATATTCTAGCAGGTGCTAGAATTCACCTAGAGACTGCTTAGTAGAGCATCCTCAGAAGCTGCACCTTCATGGGTGCCCTTCCACTCCACTCACCACACCCAGCTCCACAGTGACAGCCTGCGAGACGCTCAACAAATTCTCGTAGAGTCTGAAGCCCAGTGGGGTTCAAGAGCCCTGGATGGAGACCCAGGGCTTCACTGTGGCTGCTTGTTTTCAGGGCCGTTAAAAGAGAGTGGTGGGGTGGATGACTGTAAAGAAAATGTGGTTTTTATGTACAATGGACTACTACTCTGCCATAAAGAAGGATAAATGAGATATTTGTAGGTAAATGCTTGCACTTTGAGAACATAATTTTAAGTGAAAAAATCAGACACACATGATTAAATATTGGATTATTTCTCTTGAAACCCAAAAGGTAGATAAGGAAGGAATGGAGAGCAGAAGGAAAATGTTCAAATGAGAAGGGAGAAGGGAAGGGAAGGAAGGTGGATAAAAATGAATGGAAGGTGGATAAAATGAATGGAAGAAAAACAACAGACACAGAGTTTTATAAATGGGGAGGGAAAGAAGGGTTGAAGGGGAGGAGGGGATGGGAAAAAGGAGCTAAGACACATTAGGCACAGGTACACATTCCCTGCGAAGAACGGGATCATTACGCAGTCCCCAGTGCACCAATGAAATCAACTCTAACACACATAAATAAATAGGAAGAGGCTGATGAGGAAGCCAGGGAGCAGGAAAGGCGCCCGGTTCCTGACTAGGGGTCTAACTGAACAGGATGGAACTTCCCAGGGACACAGAGATGGGGACTCATCTCAAGTCACCAGGCTAATGAGGAGTTTTTCAATAGCACTTTTTCTGCATTTTCTCCCTAATCCTAGGGACTCCCAGACTGTGGAGTCAGTCCCCTGACTGTCCCTGCCTGTGCGAGACAGCAGGACCCAGAAGGAGGAGGAGGAGGGCAGGCTGGACAGAGTCACCCGCCCTGGGCATCCAGCAGGGAACAAAGCCTCCACTCCACCGCTGGCCTGTCCCCAGCAGCCTGGACACCCAGGTGAGCAGCCGGACTTGCCCTCCCTCTCCCACAGCAACAGGGCGCCAGGGTCCCTGGCTCTTTGAGCGGGGCAGGGGGTGAGGCTCCCCTGAATAGGGCAGCAGACGGTGGATTAATGGCAGGCAGAACAGTGACACAGCCGGGCAGAACAAAACGAGGGCGGCTGCGGTAACAAAGAGCCACAATAGATCACTTCTGAAAAGTCATCTGGGCGGCTTTGAATCCCGGGCGCCCGGCCCTGTGTCCCCGCCCGCCCGTGTCACATCCCCGGGCTTTGAGGACACATGAATGCGGCGGGAACAGTAACCCTTTCTCAGGCCTCTTTTCAGGGGTCTCGTCCACAGCGAAGGATTTACCATTCAATCCCTGTACTTTCATGTGGGAAATTCAGAATTTGCCCCTTAGAAAGAAATTGCCTTTTAAACTGTCGTAAATTCTGATGCTCTGACGGATTTACCAAAATCTCCCCTCCCTTTGCCCTGGCTTCTGTGACATATTTCGAGATGCTGGTGAACAGCGCTCCTGTCCCTCTCCTCCACCACCGCCCTGGACCCTCTGCGCCCCCATCTGCCCTTCGTCCTCCTGGGTCTCCGTCCTTAACCACCGCGCCCCTCCGGCTTCTCTCTGGAATAAAAACACCCCCATCCCCGCTGGCTGTCCGCAAAGGGGACAAGTGTCTGGCACGTAGGTGGTGAGAAGGGCAGAGGGAACAGGAAGAGGACAGTCATTCATTCGGGGCTCCCCCCCCCCCGCCCACCCTGGACACCTCCGAAGCCCTCGGTAGGGACAGGGCGGCCCTGCAGGAGGAGAGTGCGGCCCCCCACAGCCTGGCGGTGGCCCCGCACCGTGGACAGAGCCCTTGCTCCTCCGAGCGGCCCCAGCGCTGGCCGCTAATCCCATTAACCTCCCTGCGCGGGCAGAGGCTCGGCCGGCAGGGTTTGGACCCCCGCCAGTGCGTCTGATTCGCTGGGCCCTTTGCAGGATCCAGCAGGCGGAGGAAAGCAGGAACAAGGGAAACTGGGCTGGGAAGCTCAGCATGCTCCCGTGCTCCTGTGTGGGGAGCTGGGAAGAGGCTGGGAAGGAGCCCCTGGAGCCTGGGGGACAGGAGAGCAGGAGACAGGGCAGGAGGGCAAAGTGTGCAGCCCAGCCGCCTCCCCTCCCCCTCCTCTCTCCTCCCTTCCACCTGCCCTTCTCCGCTGGCCCTCTTCCCCCTCCTCCATCCACCTCCCCGCCACCCCTCCACCCTCCTCCCTCTCCTTTTCCTCCCTCCCCCCAGCCCTCTTCCTCCTCTTCCTCCTCCTCCTCTTCCTCCTCCAGGTCTGTAAGGTGAGACTGGGGCTGCTAACCGCTTCCTGATGTGCAAAAACTGCAAGACAGACCTTTTTCTTGTTAGATTTCTTAGATATGAAACAGCCAGACCCAGCAAAAATGAAATATACTCAACTTGGATGGGTTCAGATCCTGATGTCACTTGGGTGGGGGGGAGCAAAACAAAACCAAAAAAAAGGGTAAGAAATCCAACGTTTCCTGTTCCTGAGAACAGAGCAACAACTTTAGAAAGAAAACCCCGATACTGACTGGTGCAACTCTGCAGCTCTGGAAGCAGAGTGATTTCCCTCCTGGTCCAGAGCAGTCGGAGTCAGAATTTATTGTGAGCCTAACTCTCCACTAGAAGTCCCTCCTGAGGTTTTGGGGATAACTCAGTAGAAGGCCCTGGCCAAACATGTGTGACATCTGGGTTCGATCCCTAGGGTGAAAAGTGTGAGGTCCTGAGTTCAATTCCCGGTACTCCCCCCCAAAAAAACAGGAGAGGGAAAGGGAATGGGGAGGGAAAAGGAAAGGAAAAGAGAGGGAAAGGGTATTTGAAGGAAAATATGTTCCTTAAATGTGGACATGTCTTGCTTGAAAAAAAAAAATGTGTAGCTTTAATGATCTAGGAAAGTTTCGTTTATAAATTAAAATAAGTAATTTAATTATATTTAATTTAAATCTGTTATCCATAAATACATATCTGAATTATATTTTAATATTTAGCATATAATTAACATATCTTCACTTCCATTTTTTCTCTAAACCAGGCCTAGAAACTCCAAGGGCTGAGGCCCTCAGAAGCTTTCTGATCTCCATGGCAACGGCCCTGCTGCGCTGCTCAGCTTCCAGTAAACCTCACCAGCAGCTCCCAGAGCCCAGAGCCACATGGCTGACCACCCACAGCAGCACCTAGCTCAGCACCAACCCTGTCTTCCTGGGACTGGGCCACAGTGTGCAGGGGACATTGCCTTCCTCCTGGTGGCTTTCAGCCACCGGCTGGTACCTGCTTCTTCAATGAGGCCCAAATATTCATCACAGAGAAGTGCGGCTGTGGTCTTCTAACCACCCTTTCCCACATCACTGCCAGTGCCACTCGGAGCCTGTGGCCACCTTGGAAACCTGCCGGTTCCTGTCTCCCCTCCCGCCCCACAGTGAAAGCTACCATAGCTCCATCTGCTGCTGGTGTGGCCCTTTTCCCCCTCCTCCATCCACCTCTCCTGGCTGTCACCCTCCTTCCTGTGGTCCCCTCCACCCTCTCCATTCCTGTCTTCGGTTCCTCGCCACTGAGAAGGTGTCCTTGACACAAGGCCTCTGCATGGGCGCCTCTGGGCTTGGAACGCCACACCTGCACTGCTCCCTCAGCTCCTTCTGTTCAGTCAGGACCCCAGGACCCCATCACCCTGCTATCCAAACAGGCTTCCCTCCCCCCAGTCACTCCTGCCTACCCATCCCCACACTTCTGTGCTTCCCAACACCTGTCCAGGTCCATCGCATCTTACATAATGCCTGCTTTCTTGTTTTGTCTGCTTCCTTTACAAGAAGGTAGGCTCCTGAAAGGTAGCAGCATGACTGATGACCACCAGTGTCGCGGTCAGCTTTCCTATCACCAAAACACAGTGCTAGGCACTCACAGCTGAAAGGAGAAAAGGTCTAACTAGCCACATCAGAGGAGCCAGTCCATGGGTTAGCTGAGTCAAAAGCAGAAACATGGTGGATGGGACCCAATGGAGCAGATACTTAGTTTATGGTGGCCAGAAAGCAGAGCAGGGGCAGCACCAGACAGGACAGGTCAGCGATCTCCTAAGGTACAGCGCCTAAGATCGTGCTCCCGTGACCCGACCAGACACAGCCAGAGTGTCCTTCTAAGTCCTCTAGGTGGCTTGCAAGGCAATCAGGTCGACAATCCAGTTTAACTGTCGTGTCACCTGGTAGAGAGTCCCGAACTCTGCATTTGGGGAAGGAAAGAAAGCAAAATATGGACTTGAAGTCAGTGTTCTGCTTTCCATTTTCCTGGAAATGTTCTGCAAGACTCAAAGTCAAACCTAATCTCTGAGATGAACCAGGCCTCAAGATTGGGACACTGAGAAGATGAAACTAAATTTCCTCTCACACGGCCTCATGGAGCTGGACAGTCCAGGCTGCAGGATGCTCTGCTTTGCATGATAAGAGATCCCAACTCTCCCCCCCCACCCCGAGCCATTCCTCCACCCTGCAGGGCCACACTCCTCAGTGTCGTAGACTGGGTCACCATCCCAACTGGGTGGCAGCCCATGGGAGGGAGGAAGAGCACATGTGGGAGGAGCCACACCCACTGGAGACAGGAGACGGAGGTCTCACGCAGTGCCCATGCTTCACGGGGCCACAAGGGAGGTTGCAAAGCAGCCCCAAGAGCTGCATGGCCTCGTGGCCAGGAAGGAAGGAGAGAGAACATGCCACGGGCCCTGGGCTCCTCGGGTAACAGCCTATGCAAACGCGGTCTTCCCCGACCCTGCACTGCTAGTAGGTACCAAGGTGAGCAACACAACACAAGCGTGTCAGCATGGAGCAGCCCCCTCTCTTCCTCCTCACCTTTGATGCTGAGAACATAGCCGGATGCATTGCTGTGCTAGTACCTTGATTCTCCCATTCTGTTCTGCGCTCACCATGCAAGAACATGCAAAAAGCACTTGACCTGCAGGGCATGGTGGGGCAGTCCTGTAGTCCCAGCTAACACAGAGGCTGAGGCTTGAGGATCACAAGTTTGAGGCCAACCTGGAAAACTCAGAGAGACTTTGTCTCAAAATAAAAGTAAAAAGCGGAGGGCTGGGTCCTAGCTCAGTGGTGGAGCCCTGGTGTAGCACAGCCAAGTTGCTAGGCTCAGTCTGAAAAATAATAAGAAATAAAATGCAATTGACCCGGTCCTGGCTGTGTTCATTGCAGTGAGCAGCACAGGCAGAATCCTCCAGGGCCCCCAAACTTCCCCAGCCTGATGATATCCTCATGGGCGACCCTGAGCAATGGACTTGACATCCAGAAGGCTCGTCACATTTACTTCTAAAATGGGAGCTAGCACACCTGCATCCTCTGATGGCAACAGGATAGCAACTGCAAATGCAGGGATGCAGGGAAGTGCTCAGTTTCTAAAGAAAATCTGTATGATAGACAGTGTTTCACTTGGTTTTATGTTTTCAGTCTGTGTTTTTTCCCTCGCCATTTCCCAGCCTGGTGAGCCATCTCTCTTATCCACCGCATCCAGGTCCTCCCGGTCATAGTACATTTCTCTGTCACCTAACTGGATTGTCAACCTGCTTGGCCACAGTGTGGGGATCCTTCTCTTTCTCTGTTTCCGTCCCATGATTGTTCACATTTTTATGTCGTATTTTGTGCCATCGCCTGGATTCATCTTTTTTGTTAGAATTTAAACTTTGCCAAAGGGGCACAGACCAGGCCGGTGGGTCCTGGGGTCACCTAACACCTAAGGCGGCAGGAACATTCTGGCCAGGAACCCTCTGCCAAGTGGTGGAAATGGAGGCATGAGCAGTTAAAGATAGGCCTGCTAGACCCCCCAAAGCAAATCAGCCCCAAAGCTTAGTCCCAAGTGCTGGCTGACTCAGAGTTGCTTCTTTAAATAGTAAAATATTCTGCCTCTGTGGACGGAATGAGTAACTCCCTCTCGCTCCGCAGAAGCAGCTGAAACTGCGGCCCACAATTATGTTACAGCAGGGCTTCTGGTAACTCGCACCGCTGCTCCTGGGTGGTGTTTACTCTGCAGAGCCCACACCTGAATTTCTGAAGCTGAACGTGGTCCAGGCCCTGTGTTTGGGGTTCCAGCACTTTGGGGACTGGCAAATGTGTCCAACAAAAATCCGGGGAATGCTCGGCCTTTCGTTCCTCTGAGAATCACGCCATTTTCCAAGCAAAGCTAAATAGCTCATTCATGTTTTAGCCCTGCTGCTTCCAGCCTGGTTTCCTGAGGTACTTTTTAGCCAGTCTGGTGTTTTCTTTTTTTAAATAGCCTGCTGTAAATTGGGAGTTTTCAATTTATATTGGATAATTCTGGAGTGTGATTCTTAGTGTGTTGTTAAACAAATAATTTTATCTTTATTTCATATATTACCATGGAAAATGCCATAGCCGTGCATGGCCTCTACTGTACCCATGGCTGAGGCCGGCCCACAGATTCCCCCCAGGGTCTGAGCCAAATCCACCCGAAATCGCCCTGCGCTGCGCTGAAGCACTCTGACTAATAGGTACCAGCAGGTAACCAGGCTGCAATTTTTTTTTTCCTCCTGCATTACTTTTATCATCAAGAGAAGTGGGGAATTTCACATTTCAAGGGCTCTCTGCACAGGAAACCCTAGTGTGGCCTTAACACAGACAGAATTCTCCAGGGGGGAAGTCCTGGGGTAACCTGGAAAATTTGAGCAGAGGAACAAAGCTCCTTGACCGGATGGCATCCATCTGGGGCGTCCGGAAGGAAGCCGATAAGTGTGTGCAGCGCCTGCTAAGAGGGGGCGCGCACCAGACCACCTCGGTCTTTGGAATAGGAGATGTCCGGAGCGGCAGAGCTCTGAGCCCAGACTCCCAGCCCGAAGGAAGCAAAAGCGTCAACACAGACAAGGAAAACACTTGGTTTGGCTCCGGTGTTCGGGTCAGGCTGGTGTGAATGGGGCAGGAAAAACACCCAGGAATCATCAGAGCTTCTTGGAAAACAAAAGCCACCAATCAACAGAAACAGTCTTTGCGTAGAACTGAAGAGTCCCCTTCTTTGAGGTAATGAAGCCAGCCGCAGTCACAGATACCGTTAGTCCCAGGAGTCAGGCAAGCAGCACGGTAGGAACAGATCTGTGGTCCCAGAAGCATGCAGTTAAGCCACCCTAAGCTTGAGCAGGATCACCCTAAGCTTGAGGTGGTGCTGGGCATCTAGGCTGTCCAATGTGAGACCCAGTTCCCACCACAGGGAAGGGCCCGTCCCACAACCAGGAGAACTCATTCCCTCCACTCAGAGAGCTGATTGATTCTCCCTGTTAGAACCTATTCCTACCACTGGGAAAGGGCAGTCCTACCTCTGAGAGAGCTGATTCCCTCAGGGAAAGCCACTTCCTACCATTGGGGAGAGTCAGTTCCACCACTGAGAGAGTCAAGTCCGTCCACCAGAAGAGCTGATTAGCTCCACTGAGAATCTGGACTGATTCTTTCCCAAAAAGAAAGCAAACGTGTCACCCTCAGGCTGCCAGGGAGGGATGGTCCTCATCTCCAGTCTCCTTTGTGACACAGCTGGAACCTGAAGACCACGAACCCATCACTGCCATCCTTAACAACCCACACCCCCACGGTCATCCACACCACAGGATAGAGAGGGTAGAGGGGGAGCCTCAGGGGCCAAGGACAGTGCACGGGGTCCATGCTGTGTGTGTCACTGAAATGCTCATGTCTGACCACCTACCTTCTAGAAGGCAGAATTCAGCCAGATTCATCCCTCACACCCCAGATATCACAAGCCCTCTGGAAGAATATCCGTGGAAGGATTGAATGGGGACCAAGAAGAAAGCTGCCCACCCAGCTTGGGACAGCAACTGGGAAAAGAGAGACAAACAGTGTTTGTGCGGCAAAGTCATTCCTGGACAGAGCCTGCCCCTACGGTAAACTGGTTCCTGATCTGACCATTCTGCCCACGGCAATACAGCCAAGCTATGTAAAAAGGAAAATACAGAAACTTGCCGAAAAGATTCTATTTATGCTTTGCTTGGCATGAAGAAAAGTTTAGAGATTAAAGTATTTTAAGATGCCGTTTAAAAAATACAAGAAATGCATCTTTCTCTCCCCACTTTCAGAACTGGTCTAAGAATGAGGGGACAGTTGCCAGGATTATTCAGGGAACCGTGCAGCGGCAGAAAGACGTCAGGTTATGGGATTTTCTGCCACAGAAGGTTTTAGAGACTGCGTTGTCTGGATTTGATGACAGGTAATAACATTAACTAATTACAAAACTAATCACATTTGGAGCGGTGGAAGCTGGGATCATGATAAGCATAATCAAATCCCTGAATTCAGGGCTCCAGGACTCAGAGGATAAGTTTCCTCTCTTGGAAAGCTTGACCAGATGCCTTTCGGGGTTCTTTGTCTGGGTATTTTGGGAGCTGCAGACACCGAGGAGGGCAGGAGCCAGCTGTGAATGGTGGCACTGGGCAAGGTGGCTGTTGCAGGGCCCCAGACTCACCTGGGTCCAGAGCTCCTTTGAGACAAATTCCTGGCCCTCTCTACCCCTCTCTCTTCCTCGCAAAGCCTGAAGACCCTCACCCCTGCCTCACCTGAGGCTGGCTCCCTTGGACAATCTCTAAGCCAAGCCATGTGACCCATTTCTTCCTCTATAAAGTTGAGATAAGCATCTTTCCTGTTTGCCCCAACACACCGATGTGAGAATCCAGGGAAACAGTGTTCGTGTGGTGTGTTACACACTGCTTACATGGCATATTACACAGCATGCTTACACACTGCCCTTAACATAAAATGTAGCACTAGTATGAAGTCACATGGAAGTAGAAGCTGAATCTACCTCATTCACCAAGAAGTTGGTGATTTGTCCTATTATTAAAATAAGAAGCTGGGTACTTCCCAGCCATTGGCTCCTCCCCAGCCTTTCGTCTCTTCCCTCCTGGCCCTTAGTCCTAGGGGAAGAACTCTTCTCACCTGCTGACACCCCAGAAGCCCCAGGGTACAACACTAAGTGCAAACACTATCTGCAGTCCTTGGAAGGAGACCCCCGTCCACTTTCCCTTGAGGACCAGTACAGTCGCCCTCAGTTACAATCTTCCTTTGAGCCAAGCCTCACTTCTCAGAAGCAAGCAATCATGGAAGAAATAAAAACAAGCCAGGTCCCAGGTAACTTGGCCACTGATTCTGGGGGAAGTGTTATCCTTTTGGCAAAGTTGGGGGGTGGGACAAAGATCGCGAAGGCTCTGACAGTGGCAGCCAGAAAGAAGGAGACCTTTGCAGTCCTGTTGAAAAGCTAGCACTGGACAGGGCCGGCCAGAAGTACAGCTGCCCAGGTGTCCACCACAGCTAGTCTGTCATTCGGGGGAAGAACTCGGGGTAAAAGTGTGTCCTTGCACTTTCTGGCTTTAATGTCATTTGTGTATCTGGTATTTTAAGCAACTCAGCCAGGCTAGTTTGCTTTCTTATTGTCAGTGAGGTGTGTATCCAACCTCACCTTTTAAAAGACAGCAACAGTTTCATGATTATGGAGCACAGATCAATCCTACAAGGGACAGAGCTTAACACACACATGTACACACAGGCCAATACACCTGACAGAGGAAGTCACTAACGCAGACGCAGAGTTTAATGTGTTAAGCCACTGAATGTCCAGAGACAGAAGAAGCCTCTGTGAAACCAGATTTGGAACAACAGGGAGTCTAACTGGATAGACATACAGTGTTCATCTCTGTCACCCCTGACACCGGGCATGGGGAAGGGTTCCTCACCAGACATCCTTGCCGAGCAGCAGCATGCAGCCAGGTGTCACCCAATGTGCCCTCCCGGACGGGGCTGAAGTGGAATGGGCAGCACGCCTGCCTTGCCATCCAGGGGTGAACCAGGAACCCATGCAGGAGGCTCCTGGCGGGTCCAGCCCTGCAAAGCAGCCTCCCATTTTTGGGAGTCCAGTGGGAAACGAGAAGAGGCCACAGTGAGAAACAGCTGCTGCAGGGTGCACAAGGGGGGAACAGGCGGTGCAAGCAATCTCTTCTGGAACCAAGCACAAACAGCAAGGCTGCTCAAGGTCCAGCTCACCCGGGTGAAGCGGCAGAGCTGGACGTGGCCTTGGCTGCCCTGTGCAGAGCAGGAGGCCCTCTTGTTACCCTGTGAGAGATTAGAGGGGTAGCATTCAATGCCAGGCTGACACCAGAGCAGCTGGTGGC